AACAGCAAGCCCACTATGCCTCAAAATTTGCCTGGTACCATTTTGTTTGGGTTTGCGCTTGGGACCATGTTGTCCTGGGCCATTTTGTCCGGGACCCAACCATTTTTTCCGGATGCCGGGAAAACGTTACTGCCGTTTCAGAGGCCACTTCGCGAAACAGTTCTGCGGTTGAACAAATATCGCAAAGATTCGACTTGCTTGAAAGCCATTCGCGAAGTAATAATCTGCTCTTTTTCAACATCCCTGAAAGCAGGATCGAGACGTGAGAACAGTCACTCAATTAGGTTTTCACCTTGTCACGACCCAACGCAACTATGCACACTTGCGACCGATCAAAGTAAGAGGCATTTATTTATTTATTTATTTATTTAGTACATACTGCGGACCTTTCGAGCTCCAAGCAGGGTGGGCGGTAAACATAAATACCGCCACAGAAAACAATGGTTGCACATAAAACAACAAAACAATGGTTGAAAAACTGCTGCACGGAAATAAAAAATATACATATATCAAATTCTAGGAAATCCCAAAGTTATAACAATGACCCATGAAAATATACAATGACAAAGATAACAGTGAAACTACAAAGCTGAAAGCTCCATCAAAATATACACTGACAAAAAGACTACAATGAGACTAAAAGGGGCGAGGGTCACTGGGATATAGATAAAAAGATTCCAATGATGATGCAAAATCAGGTGATGTAAACAGTTCCAGGGGCAATGAATTCCACTCTTTTATTCTTCTTGGGAAATATGAAAACTTAAATGTATTTGTACGTGCAGAATAGGGCGTTAAAGAGGAGCGGTGATTGTGTCTTGTTTGCCTGGGTGAAAGTGGACTAACCTAAAAACAGGAATTTAGAGAAATCTTAGAATTGACAAGTTGGTGTAAAAAGTTTAAACGGGCAATCTTACGTCGGTGTTGGAGTGTAGGTATATTGTTTGTCTCCATTAGTAATGATGGGGAATCGGTAAGTTTGAATTTACCATAAACAAAGCGAACGGCGCGTCTTTGAACTTTTTCTAAACTGTGTAAATGTTTTTTTTTTTTTTTTTGGAGATGGATCTTATACTACGAAACAATATTCAAGTTTGGGTCGAATGAGAGAGGCTAACAATTTAACGTTTGGGAAGGGGGCGTTATTAAGTTTATGCCGTACAAGAGCAAGCTTGCGGAAGGCTCCCGAGGAAATATCATTCATGTGATCGCCATTAGATTCCAAACCGTGATCGGCCATTAGATTCCGCCATTAGATTCCAAACGCTCTCCACTGTTTGAGTTACTTCCTCTCTTAAATCTACACCCGATTTCACCTCAAAAACCAAAGTAAAATAGGTCCGGCTTCTCGCGGAGGATAACTATGTTCCTCCTTTGCGTAGATAATTAAACTATATGCAGGTGCAATTTAGTTTAGATATATGTTACCTTGTCAAGACGCACACGTTAGAAATGCCAAAAGCATCACTTCTTCCTAGGGTAACCACATTTTGTAAGAACTACTTTGCGCGGCGTACACAAAACAATGCGAAAAACTTACTTTTTTTCTTGAGGTGAACAATGAGGCTAGTAGACACTCTCTATTAGAGTATATAGGAATACACCCTTACAGAAGCGTCGCGATAGGAACGACATTTTGTCATCAAACTTCCTCTAAAGCTAGTCATCCAACTCGAGGTTAATGACGGAACTAAATTACATATAGAGGTATATATATATATATATATATATAGAGAGAGAGAGAGAGAAGAAGAAAAGAACCCTTAGTGAAAACAGCAACAACGGACGATTTAATTTTCGACGTTTTGGCCGGAGTCCGGCCTTCGCCTTCCTGACGAAGGCCGGACTCCGGCCGAAGCGTCGCAGATTAAATCGTCCGTTGTTGCTGTTTTCACTAAGGGTTCTTTTCATCTTCTATACCCACGCCTTCGGCCCGCCGCCACCATGCCCGTTATATATATATATAGTATAATTCAATACATAGGAGAAACTAAAACAAGCATGAGAAAGCGCATGAACCTACATAAAAGTCACATACTTAAACACGTTGCCAGACCAGTTTCTTGGCATTTTAACTCCAAAGGACAGAACGTACTGTTTTACTTTAATTTTATTATACTCCAAGGTGGCTTTCCAACCACCAGAGATAAAAAAAATAAGGTGTCCGAATTTATTTCTAAATTTATCACTTTAGAACCGAAGGGCCTTAACAGTTCGAAAGGGTCATTACCGTCTTATCTTATGGACATTTAATTGAGATCTTCTAATCGGTGCCGCACTGCTGCTTTTTTTTTTCGCTTGATCATTTAATGTGACGCGAGTAAACGCTTTGTACTGGGCCTCTCAATGGCTTCACATGACGCCAGGTATACTTGGCTTATGTCCAGCCAGGTGTCCCAAGAACTGGTTTTGTTATAATAATGGCGTTAATAATATCATATTTAATCACTTCAATACAATTCACTGCTTTTTTATCGGGATATATTAGACTTTTAAGCGAGAAATTAGTTCAGTAGATACCGGCTAACAGGTAAGCATTTTTCCAATTACTTCTTTTTCTTTGCGACCGTTTTTATCTTTCATTGAAAGAAAAGGAAAACGAAGCGTTCTTTCACGGACAAACGAAGAGCCTACCAGGCTTGAAACGTTTCTGCATACACAACTTTTTTGTCGACCTTCTTCGTGATCGGGGCGACCATCTCCCTAAAGACGAAGACGTGTGCAGGTCCCCGTTTGCGCGAGGACCTGCGAGATCACACCCCATAATCGCGCCAGCAGCGTTGACAGCCCTGTGCACTATGTATAAAACAGGGTATACTGTGTTTAATACTCCTCATACACTGTCGACGAAATGAGGTGCGATGTGATGATTTCTTGCTTTGACGCAGCGATTCATGTCAATTTTTCTGTTGGTTGTAGAACTTTATTTAAAAGGCAACTTCGCGCAATACGGTTCGGTTTACGACTGTTTTCAGCTAAGGCAGTGTTCCTAAATTACAAGGTATAAGTTGTTTCTCGATACACTCTAAAAACTGTCGCGCTGAACCTCACGCTAACCGCGAGTTTCAGGCGTGGAACCGCCGTCGATACCACGGGAATGACGTTTTAAGCACCACGCGTGATCGAGAATAAGCGTTTGTTTCCTGTGTCCAAGCGTTAGAGCAGTCCGAGGAATCCCGCTCGGCCTTTTGTTTCGGACGTGATCAACAGCGTTAGCGTGACGACCGCAAAACACACGCTTAGATTTTCGGAAAAACGCGTGCGCCTTCATTCATCGTCACGCTAATATACATCCGAATGGATTGACCCTCTCGAAGAAGCACTTGCGCGTGGTTTTTTGTTGATTTTTAGTTGACGTGAGCTTCTCTTTTCTGGAAGCACAGAGAGCGCATGCGTCCTCTTTTTTGGCGGGAAAAGCGAGAAAGCCGTTGCGCTGTTTCCGTTGCGGGCTGTCTCTCTCAGTCAGTTCCCGACACGCTTTGTTTAATTGTGGCTGGGGCTGGACCAGCTTGACTGACTGCGACTGGCGAGACTTAAACGGCGCATGAGTTCGGGCACAGTGTGCCATGTTTATTGCACTTGACGTGCGTGGAGTGCAGCGGGGTCGCTGCAAACACAGCGAGTGCGAGTGCCCCGAATTCCTGCGGGAGACGGATCTGAATGCCAGCCAAGGAAGGGGCTTCCCATTTCGCTGGTGCCTTTACTGCGGTCATTCGCCAGCTATTCATGGAAGACTGCAATATTTGGGTAAGAACCCTGTTTTCGTTTGTCCCGCATTACTCTCTTGATCCGCTGTTTTTGCTTGTTTTGTTGCGAAAGCGCAAGTATCAAGTTGCACAATCTCCACCGTATTGCTTTTCTCGAAGCGATGTGCTCTTCAGCATAGCTGTCACATCTAGGGAACAATTTTTGCTCTAAATGAAGCCTCGAGCGCTCGTGCACTGTTTTGAAACGAAATTCTAGATGGCGCTTGAAACGACGGGAGGCGGACTTAAGTGAGTGAGGGGGTACCTCCTCCCAAGGGAATTTCACAACTGAGGTAACTTATAATAACGTTGGGTATAAGTATAACCGATCAGCCGCAGCTACACCGCGACGTGGCGTCACTGGGGTGCTGCGTCAGTGTTTCCAGACTAAAAGCTATCCCGCCCACTAAAGTGCAGCTGGTCGCATCTTCAAAATCGGTCGTGGTGAAGTACGGTGCTTCACTTTGATGTAACATTTCGGTTGTGATCATATTTTGAGCCACTAAAGCGATACCAGTAATTTATTTTGGTTTCGTTTTCGACCCGAGTTTTCCTTTAATATGCTTGTTAACAACTAAAATTAATTGGGTCTCGTTTTTCTCCCCCTTTTTTTCACTTTTTACGTCAAAATATTTTTCCCAAATTGTTTTCCTTTTTCAACACTCTTTTAATTACTTACTAGCCGCAGATGCCACCAAGACTGGAGGGGGCCTTCAGGTCGAAGACCACTTTGTCAACACATAATTTTATTAGGTTCACGTAATTCAAAATTGAAAGTTGTCTTGATCACTCTGATAAATTTGGAGCACGACTCGCACGCATTTTCGTATTTTCGATTCTAAGGTCAGGCAGTGTTTAACGTACTTGAACATAACAAAACCAAACCCATGTTCCTACAAATTGACCACCAGACCGAGATTTTAATTTTAGCAAGGCGCGTTTTGTTTCCATAATTTACAAGTACATTGAACCAACTTTAAAATCGAAAGTACTGAAAATGCGTGAGTGCCAAGTCTCCCATCCTTCTCTTTATTTCTGTTAACACGCTGGTGAGCGGTGCTACAAAGCAATACTAAAACACATCCTGAGCGTATTAAAAAATATAAGCACTCTCTACATCCTGATACAAGCGAGGTCACCTGTGTATTCCATATGAGGTATTAATAAGAAATGAAAGCTCGTTTTACTTTTATTTAAATTTTATTGATATTCGGACAATGACGGGCAAGGCGTACAATTTTCAAAGAAGTATTTCTACCCGGTCCATAAATTTTCTAAGGTTATATTAACCAATTTGGCCAAAGGTGCAGGAAGTTTCGTTGGAAGGTCGTTCAGGTCAGCGTTCACACAATTACCGTGGCGGTCGCATCTCTGAAAAGCGCAAAGCACGGCAAATGTGACAGATTGGTGTCAATGGGTCACAGAAAGAGAGAAAGCGAAATCGCTTAGCTTTAAGCAGTTACATGTTCGATAAGAAGGCTGACAAAGGCAGAATTGTGATTCATTATTCGCCTCCGTCTTCAATTTTATGCATCATAATAAACTACTCCTTACAATCTCGTCTGGATTTACTGGCAAACAAAACTCTGCACAGCATTTAGTATTTCGTGCACTACAATACACCTTCCTTTTTTGTGTGCAAATGGCGGACTACCGTATTTACTCGTTTAATAGACGCTCCGCTTATGTACAAGCCGGCGAGTTTAATTTGCCACAGAGCTAATATATCGAGTGCTTGGGAGAATGGGAAACTATGTTTTTCTCACCACGCAAAGAAACAACCTACGCATCACTTGTGGGATTCCCCTTTTTATGGGGTACCACTTAGAAACACAGAAGGTTCCTTGGGTCCGGATAAAGACGTGTTTATTTGACTTAGATGCCACACGCTTGCCCGAAGGCCAACAATGTTGGAGATGACGGCGCTGTCTCTTTTGACAGGATCGCCAGTCGGAGTCCGCACTGCCGCTATTGACAGTATCACGGAGGGGGAGGATCAGATAAGGATATGAAGGCTCCGTCGAGCTGAGCCTCCCCCAGCGAGAGTCCCGCCCGTTGGATTAGGGCAGTCTTATATAGCCTGCGGGAATGGACGCGCCCAGGGTGGGTCGGATGTAGGTGGCTCCCCGGAGGGGCGGACGCGTCTAAGTCATGCTCCCGAAGGGTGTGCCTTAAGGCCCGTTCACACTCTTGCGACCTCTTAAACCTGGGTTCCTTAAAACTTAAACCAGAAAGCACACTGGCGCCATCTATTGGGAAGCAGTGTAAACTCGGCGGTCCGGCATATTTTTTTTCAATTCTCGAGCATTATCCTTTCTTTCTTGGCTCGAAAAACTTTTGACAATGTTATAAACGAGCCTTTCTATGGGTATTACGCGCATTTGACCTCGAAAATCCCACAAAACCTTCACTCTTGTGAAACGCAGTTCCAGGGTCACCGCATAGATGGCGCCACAATGTCAGTGTGTTCCCTCATTCTAGAAACATTTAAGAAGTTGTAAGAGATCTCGTCTCTCTCAGTCGTACTCGGTCGCAAGAGTGTGAACGGGCCTTTAGGCAAATCACCCGAGAAGGACGAGGGAAAGCCGCCCACCAGGGAATACGGCTTCGCCTCGCATCCGGGACGCTCCCCCACGTGGCGACGTCCCACGGCCTGCCTGAGCTAGGCCTAGATAGGGATGCGGGGAACACCGTGGTTCCCACACACTAAATGTCCAGCGTCTTCTGAAATGCAGCGCTGGCGGTTGGAAACATCATCAGAATCAAAATTTCCAAAACTTTAATATAACGCTTCAATATTTTTTCGCCACATTTTGGCAGCTGGTCCCAAAAGTTAGAGTTACTCTTGGGTGGATGTTTTGGCCACACTGTAGGGTCGTTCATTGGCAGCGTGACGTCAAGCCCCCTTAGACAGGACTAAAGAGACGGACGCGCGGACGTCGGTCCGCTCGGCCTGCTCACCCCACCTTCCGCTCAGAGCCAGTATATATGTACACAAAGATTTGCGTTTCTGCTTCTGACCAATATTTTTGTAGCGATGTTAATTGCCTAACGCTGGCGTTAAAAGATACATATCCCTGCACAATGTGCGAACCACGGAGGTGACTGTCACAAATGTCGTCAAGAAAACACAACCTCAGGTCACGTGACTCATTGCTCTAGTTCAGGGACTCCAAACGCGCGGCCCGCGACTCTCTGGGGCGTGGCCCACAAGCACTCCCCAGCTGCGAGCCCATGTTCCCATTCCTCGAGCGCCCCATGCGCCAAGAATAAGTTTTATGTCGTCGAATCATATACACTCGAAAAGGAGCTCTATTCATATAAGATGTTCACGAATTTTGCGCTATTCTGTTTTTGCTTGGACGGAGTGTTACAACGCCTAAATATTTGCTTGTCAGATCTTTCTCCTGGAAAGCAACCGAAATGGCAATACAAAGATACACGTGCGAGTTCTTTGCTCAAGGAGGCACGTCGGCTCCTTCAACTCTTGCTCAGCAGGAGAAACCATCAGAGATACAGACATAAGCTCAGGCGTATAGCTCTCAAACAATAACTCTAAAACACAGTTTTTGTTTTCTTATAGTGCTGCTATAGAGATCGCCGAGGAAAGCAAAATCTGCCTTATGAAGCTTTATTTGTTTGTGTGCCTGTTGAGCCTAGTGAATGGAGCGACAGTACAAGCACGGTGTGCTTGCTCTCGTTCCCTCGAACCCTGACAGTAGGTTTGTGTTTTAAATGTTCCTAAAACAGCGGGTGTGGGCTCAAAGTAGTCGTATATGCAAATAAAAGCTGAAGATGGCAATCCGTCGAGCTTACAAAAAACAGAAAGCACAAAGGCTCCTTCTCTAGGAAATCTCTAGGGTGCCGCGGAGACAGCCGCGGTTGCTTCGCAACGTGAAACACCTCCGCTGTCTGTTTGTTTTCGTTTCTCCCAATATTGCAAAATAATGTCCTTCCTCCCTCTCCCTCCCCCCTGGCCTTCGTTCCTTCGGGGGTTGGGAAATCTGCCCCTCACACTCGAATGAGTTTGGGACCCCTACGGCATCATAAATAATGATACTCCTGTGCCTATTGAATAAAAAGACACAGACATAACGTTTCCGAAGCTCCAGCTTTTGCACGGATAGCTCAAATAAAAGTTACGTAGCTTTAACTGTTTCCAACTAGGGTATAGCTGGAAACAGCCAAAACTACATAAATTTTCTTTGAGTTCTTGGATAAAATCAAATACTTCGATTTTATCGAAGTACTTGTAAAATCTTTACACCTCATTCCTGTTAAATACAGCAACGAATTGCAAGCGTTCTTTTGTTGATCGAGTATGAAAGGAATAACCTGGAATGAACACTTGGTTCTCTCTGTATCGCGATAATTAGATATTTAATGTATTCTTACCATCCGGTGTGAACAGGGCGTCCGGTAATGAGCATCTTTCAATGTATAAAATATACCACTGCTATTATACGTTATGCAGCATATTGTGCAATTGCGAGGATAAAGGCCGAACTGCAAAAAAATGGGGCGTTCATTATGTTAATTGTGCGTGTGATAAGTGGATTGAAGGGACATGAATTATAAAGGCTCGTTTTAGCGAAGTTTCAGTAACGTCTGTCAAACATTAAAATGGTGATACAACAAGTTTCATACTTTCAATAAATACAGGTTAGAATTAGTAATTGAATTAATAGACATTCATAAGCTATAAAAAACTTTTTTTTTTCTCCACGCCATTTCAATTGCAGAAAACAAATTCTGAGAAAAACGAACACCGTTTCCCCCCTGCACTTATAGCCAGATTAAAAAGCTGCCGGGTGATCTCGAGCCTATTGTATGCTGCCGTTAGGATAAAACTACAACAAAAGGCTACCATATGCATATTGCGACGGCAGCGAAAGTGCGCTTGTGTACATGTTGCCGGTCAGCGAACATACTAGATGGGTTATTTTGTCGAGAACATTTTAGATACAAGAACATACTTGGTTCAGACGTTCTACTGTGACAATGTTCTACAACAGCAGCGAAAGGTAAAATGAAACACTAGACTGGCCGAGTCGCACCCCTCTGCAGAGCAGTGGGCTACCCACACGGGATTATTCACGCGTAGTCTTAAGTTATCAAGCTTGCTAACAGTTGTCCGCCTTGAGCGTCTTGTGTTTGGCGCAGTAAAAACAGGCGTGTTTGTCTTTACCGGGACACACCGTTTTTTAGGATTAAATGTAACCATATATTTTCAATAGCAGTGTATTCCCTGGACGTACTATATCGGCCACGGATACGTATACAATGCCGCCGTCGAATGCTGCATAATGCAAGGGCTTCGAATTATTGCATTGGATTTAATCAAAAACATATTTGTACTTTACCGTTCCCATTACTGGTTGAGGGATTTCCGGCGGTTTCCTCTGGCAGTATTGTGAGAGGATCTTAAACCAGTGGTTTCTTTGGTTGATTGTTTTAAACACCTGTCTCGTTACCTCTGGGCAGTACGGGTGCTTGTGAACTTCGGTACGTTGATCTAAGTAAGAAAAAATATTATGAGCTTCATATATAGTTATTTTGTAGTTACTGATTAAAATGATTTTTCTTAGTCCCGGACTGCTGGTACAAATTAAATTTAATTTAATTTAGTTTATTATAACTTACTTTATTTACCTCAAACCGCCCGAAGGCGTTATATGAAGGTGGAGTTTAAAAAATAACATCGCTTTAAGTGTAATCAAAATACACTTGGTAAAAAAGAAAAAAAAGAAGAATGGGAACTAGAAAGCAAGCGTTCAACAATAGATACCGATTTCAACATAAAACACCGGTCGGGCAGACTGCCCAACCAGGGCGAAAATGCACACTAGTTGTAGCACTCTTAGCCATTCAATAGAAATTCGCATGCGTCATGGAAACGAGCCAAGTTCGCCTGCCCCGCGATACACTCGGCTAAACTCTTCCAGTCACGCATTGCTAAGTGTAGGTGAAATTCATAAAATTGTTCCGTATCACTAGTTGATAGTCTAATATTGAAAGGATGATCAATCCTAGGAAATATACGATGCGGTGGGAGCAAGAGTTCATTTTTAGGTTCGGTATTGACATAATATATTTTCTGTAAAAATGCTTATCTTGAGTGTTTGCGTCTTCAACTCAGGGATTGCAAACAGTCCCATATTTTCAAAGCCGTTAGGCTAGTTGCGTAAAAGTAAACCTTGTATATAAAACGAACTTCTTTATTGTGTAGAGCCTCCGATTTCTGATTTAAGATTGTTGCCGCAGATTTCAAATTACGCTAGCATATTCAACTTTTGATCTAACTGGTGATTTGTAAGCAAGTATTCGAACATTAGGACTAGCCAAAAATAGTTTTTTTCAAGTATCCCAGCGAGTGGTTTGTTTCGCCCATAGTGTAATTGATTTGCGCTTTCCACTCAATTATTTAGTTACAACAACACCAGTGTATTTATGAGTGTTCACCCTTTCACGATTGGATTTGGAAATTTTATAGTCAAAAGATATATTAAATTGTTTTCTTGAAAACGCCATTACCTTACTTTTGATATATTGACACATATTTGCCAGTTCATGAAGAACGCTGTAATAGATTCCAGATCATGATGCAGTAGCAAAGCATAATCTAGTTTGCTCAGAAGTCGATAAATGACGCCATCGTTGGCAAATAGCCGAATGTTGGAGGCCCCGTTCATAAAAAAAAAAAAACAAGAAAGAGAAGCGGTCCGAGAACGGAGCCCTGGGGACAGCAGATTTTACCTTCGTAGTAGGTGAAATGTTTCTGTTAATGGTTCCCGACTGCGCTCGGCAGGAGAGGAAACATTGTATCCAATTGATAAATCATCTGTGAAGATTAAGGCTGCCTAGTTTATTTTGGAACAGCTGGTGAGGAACCGGATTGAATGCTTTAGAGAAATCTATTAATCCGGCGTCTGTTTGAACCCGAGAATGAATAGATTTATGAACGTCATTTACCAATTCAAAGAACTGTGTCCCACATGATTTTTGTTTTCAAAAACCCTGTTGATTATGAAAAGGAAAGTTAGTATCCGACAGGTGGGCCATAACGCTATTAATTATTACATGCTCTAATAGTTTAGATGGAGTGCTAGTCAACGATAAAGGGCTGTGTTTAGTAAGTGAAGCTTTATGACCAGACATAAACGTTTGTAAAACCTTTGCATCCTTCCAGTCCTAAGCAGCAGCTTTTAAGTGTTCTTGATACCGTTACTGCCTTGAGCGGAATAACTAGGAAGACTGTCTATGAACTTGTCAATACCAGGCGAACTAATACACAATTTGTCAAGGAAAGAAAGGTTGCAATTAATATCGCAAGTAGGTGAGGAAAGCATCTCGTTGGTGAACACTTCGGAGGAAACTATGTTAAAAGAGTTAGCACATTCTAAATCGGCCATGGTATTTCCTTTGTAGTGGCTCAATGCCACTACAAAGGCACTATTCATGATCCATGAGGGGTACCTGCCACTTTTTGGGGTCCGATGAGGTACCAAAATCTTCTTGGATTTGTTTTCAACATATATTGAAGCTTCACTACGAAAACTACAAAGACAGTTAAGACTGCTAACGTGTTGGAATGCGAAAGCATTCGTATACGTAGCGTATTCCTACAAGCTGAACGCCGCCCTGAGCCCAGCCGAACGACATCTGCGTAGGCTGTCCGGGCAGGCTTTGCGGCCGGCGGCCACAGCCGCTGTGCAGATCCCGTCCACCCTCTCCCTCTTACCGGCGGCCGGACCGCGGCGCCATGAAGAGGGCTTCTGTGTGGGGTGGCGTTCCATGGAACTATGCCGCGCGCGTCAGCCAATGGGAGTTTATCCATCAATTCGCTGCTACGTTCTACAGGCTTCGTTTCATGGGACAGGGGAATTTAGGTGTAGTTTGGCGCGGCTTCAAGAGCTGATGACGCCGGTTCGCTCCATGGGACAGTTTATGATTTTGCATTAAACGTTTTTCTTCCTAACTTTAACCTCCGTTTTAGATAGCAACGAGTGGCGAATGTAACGGTCCCGTAAGTCGCATTGTTATACATTTTGGCTTTTTAATAGATACGTTTCTTTGTGTTCAGAAGCCTATTTAGTGAACCAGAGGACCAAGGATTCTTAGCCTTTGAGGGAATCCTAAATTTAGGAACAAATAAATTTGGAAGTTTTGGTGAAGTCACTTAATTACAATTCAGTGCTCATCAATAAACCGACAGTTATGTTTCCTTTAAAACTGCCACAGAAAAGCCTCCAAGGCCTCGTAAATCTCAGCTGTTGTTTTTGCACTTTGATAACTCTGTGAAATACGGTATCATAACAAATGCCTGGTCATCAATGAGTAGCCTGTAAAGACCAAGGGACAGATGCTTTTAGCTGCACGGTGCAGCTTTCCGAACTCTCGAAGATTTCTTCTGGTATTTTATAGTCGGAGAAAAATCCTGTTCTGTTCACACCTTCATGAAACCTAAGTTTTTCAGAGGAGGTGCTTGATTAAGTACTTCTTGTTTTTGTTTTTTTATAAGTTCCGGAATTTTATGAGAATTACGCGGTTTTATTCATTTCGCTTTCTACATACACGGTGAGCCCGTTCGCTTTCATTGGCGTCAGTTATCAGGAGACTCGGAATAATATCTAACAGATTCTTTCGGTCTGGTTACAGGTTTCCCCCGGGTACTTCACGGATGCCCTTGAAAATTATGTTGTTTCTGCGTATACGATTATCAAGTGCACCAACTTCGTACCGATATGCTACCGCCATGCTGACACGTGAAAGCCAATTCACACAGATCTGTTTCCAGGGAGCATGTGTCGGCTTTCATGACGTTTATTTCGTTATGACAGCGCTATATTACTTCCACCTTCATTTCAAGCTGAGTGACCCTTGACGTTAGGTTCGCTACACCGGTAGATACCGTCTCAAGCTGTTGCGAGCTATCTTTTAAGTTGCTCTCGGCGTTCAATAGGAGTCTGTCAAAACACGCCTGAAGCTTACGAGTCTTTCACAATACTGCCCGCGATTTTGTTCCACGTCTCCAGAAAGTGCTCAAAATTTGGTGCTGCTCATTTTATAACTATTGAGAATAAATATAAGAAAGTAGAAGAACCCATTTAAGAAAACTATAAAATGTTTGGGAAATTACAAAAAAATTTTGAAAGATTTGAATTCAAGGTTAAATAAATAAATAAATAAATATGAAGTTTATAACATTTGGGGCTGAACTTGAAGGGGCTTTAGACGCAAGCATAAAGTTTAAGAATGGAACTTTAAAATATAGCTCAGGACAAATCATACCGTTTGAATCACTCCTGGAAGATCTTTTTGAAATTGAGATTGGAAATCATAACATTTAAGGAAAGTGGCTTATATTATGTTAAAATTGTATTTGAATGGACACAGACAGAGGATTTACGATCCTCAAGGTTTTTATTTGGACAAGATCTATAAGAGTCTAACTATCCAGAACACAGTTTGGGGCTCGAAACTAGTTTCCTTTCGTCCGAAAACAGCCGGTCGAGAATTGGATGGTTTCAGTCGCGCTCACTCACTTTTCTATGGCCACGTAGCCTTCAAACTATGTGAACCAAAGCTATTCAAGCTCGTGGGCCATCTAAGACACACGTTCAAAATTTTCACAAAGGAAGGCGACGAAAGGCTGAACAGTGAACTTAAAATAAAGGTTTAATCGGCGAACTTGTGCCAAACAAAATAAAAGACGAGCGTCGAGACAGCAGAAAAGTATGCGGCGATTTGGCGGCGTAACAGCAACCGAGAGCGAGACTGACTCGAGAAGGTCGCGGACAGCTTCTTATCTAGTGCATCGGCATCGCGAAACTTCGGCAAAGAAGGCTCGAGCATAGAGCGTTCGGGGTGACAATGAACAGGCACTTTAAGGAACAAGAAACTAGGACGAAATGATAAGCATAAGCTCCACCAGCGAGCGCTGGTGGAGCTTTTGCAGTCCTTGCTAACCTATTGATGCCTCAATTTTAGCCAATTACAACACACTCCTATAAAAAAAATCGCTGCTGCCGCCAGGTTCATTCTTGAAGAAATGCATGAGCATTTTGCTCGGTGCTTATATAACACAAAGCATGGTGAATGCTTTTTTATATATAACAAAGCATAAGCATTTTTCGCAGTGGTTATATGTAGCAAGGTATGGTGAATGCAGCATCACGGCACTTTTCCGCAGGGTGAACGTACTCGAAACCCCTCTTCTTCTTGGTGAAAGCACATCAGGTCACTTGGCGTGTGCATGAAGGACGGTGACTGCGCAGGATTGGAGCTACGGCGTGGTGTAACACCTAGCAACCGAGGGGCAGTGAGGTACAGCTAGGCTAGGGCTTACTTGGACAGCCGGGAAGGGGGGGGGCGAGAGACGGCGTGTACAAATGGCCCAAGGTAGGTTAATATTTTGTAATGAGCCAACCGCAGACTGTCGCCGCGAAGCCGCGTGAACGGAGGGTTTGGGGTGGGAATTGACACGCTCCCCAGTAATTCACCCGCCGCCCCCCACTGCGCAGCGGCGATATTGGCGAAGGGGGACGTCGCCGGCGATATTCGGTTGCTAGGTGTTACGTCACGGCATTGCTCCATATAACCAACCAATCCAGTGCGGCCTCCGTTGCTATGTGTCCTATCGCCAAACCTCCCGAGATATCTACCCTGCCACCCTCTGTCGGTGCTTGGAGAAGGTGTTTCG